ACAAGTGTTCTGTGGTCTCCATTTCTTCATCTTCCAGATCATTTCTTCATATTCCATATCAGTTATATACTAAAAAAAATCAGTCTGAAATAAAAGTAGTATATTATATTTCAGATACGTATCTGAATTGCACAACCTCTTTATGCTCTTTCCTGCTTTACAGTTTGATGATAAGTAGAAACCTTCTCACCCAGACTTAAACTGCAATAAAATTAGATCAGATGCTCATTATACATTTTTTTTAATAATCTAAAGTTTGCTCCTTTTTCTCCCTTTTCTTTTTAGGAGATACAGCCTGATCTCAGCCAAAACCACAAACTGGAGCATTCTCAATTTAATTCAGGTGATCTCTTTAGTGAAGATATAATTATGAATGACCAAATCATTGATATTCTGTCCTTTGAAGAACCTGAGAACATGCTTCAGGCTTTAGAAGAGTAAGAATTCATTGCTATTCCATCACATTTATTATTTTTGTCATTAGCCAAACCTTTGAATATATTTTGAGTATCTCCTTTTTATTGTTTTTTTTATAGTGTCTGTTTACACATATTACTGCACTACCTTAGGTTTTCAGACTGTTTTAAACAATCATCTATGGGAACGGAAAGCCATTAAATTTCATATTGATTCACTTGTAGAAGTCACAGTTCCATCTAGGCCTTAGACATGCAAGTTTTCCAGTACAAATAAACACCTTGCTTTGTCTCTCTGTGGCTCAGTACATGAAGGGAAACTTCTTGGTGTGCAAGAAAATATTGAAACACGGATTTTCTACTATTGCTTAACACATTCTGCTTTCAAAAGGGTGGCTTTTGTCCTAGAAAAGAGAGCTCCTGCTGAGAGCCAGCATTATTGTTCAGCAGTGTATTTTGAAAACAGCTGGATTAGAGTCTGAGGCGTGACAGTTTGTAGCGCTGCCAGAAAGATACCAGGTAGCTGTGATTGGTGGGAGCACTTGCTAGAGCACAGAAACACTCCTGATACTGTTTAAAGGCTTTCTGACAGAAACATGCCACTGTTAAAGGTCATCTGTTCTTCAGCTGAATTTTATAAAAAGGTCTTATGTGAGGATGAGCAGATGCTGTTTATGCACTCTTTCCATTACCTTCATAAGTGAGGTTAAAGGCAGTATTATGCAACTATAAAATCTGTAGAAGCTGGAAAGTTACAGGATCATGAGTGGAATTTTCTTTCTTACAGGGTAACTAACAGCATTATTATTTTTTGCCTTTCCCTGATAATTGGAAACTTATCTCTGTAAATTGCACATTGGTCCTTGCTTTTATACCTGTATAGCAGCTCAGGCTTTGCGAAGGTTTATCCTTAAAATAATTTTGTGACTATTAAGAAGAACAGGATCAAACATTTTTTTAAACTCGCTTTAGTATTAATTTATTTCGGGGATAGTTAGTATCTCGCTAGGTTGGAAAAAAATTGCTGGACTGTTTTCAGATACATTATGGATAGATATATATTCTTTCAAACCTTTGGAAAGGTTTATTTTTACAACACGTTTATTTCTAAAGCTATAAAACAGGATTTGTATCTTAGTTTGAATGTGTGTCCAGGGGCTGAAGTTTTTTAATGTTTTTACAAAGTTATTGCATATGTCTCCTGCTTCTTTTTCTTTCCTCAGTTTCTGTTTTTTTTAACCTCTAAAGAGGTAGAGCATTGCAGTGAATAAAGTAGATGCCCATTAGTCAACACTCACTAACCTGCTTCACCTTCTAAGCTATCTTTTCCTTTTACCAGGGTGAGGATAGTAGATAGACCACAAAGGTATGCAGAGTTACAGTGACTCCTGCTATGAAAGATGATTGAAAGGGTGATAGGTATTGTCAGCCAAGCAACATCATCTTGCTTGTATGCTATCTCGGTAATTCCTTCTGCGACTTTTGGTGCAGGTATGTTTCATTTTTGTCTGCATGACACACAAACTTGCCAGCAAGATTGATAACATCCTTTTCATTGCACTGTCATGGTTGGAATCATTCTGCTCTTTCAGATACAAATGAGAAAAATACTCTGAAAAGTAAGAGCCACATGTTGTTTTCTTCATTGCAACATTAAACTGTTCTGTCTTTTAAGAAGTGCCAGTGCCAAATCGCTTAGGAGATACATCAGGAGCATGTGTTCAGTATTTATGGACAGGGACACTTTAGGAATGTAGACAGTTTGCAGTGTCAGGAGGATTGGCTAGAGAACAAAATATACTTTTAATGTTTCATAAGGAAGCTTCTTGGTTACTCATTTTGTGAATTTTGTCTTAATAAGTCATGTCCTTGTTATACATTATGCAGCAAAATAGCTTGGCTTTTATTCTAAGTAGATTCCTTGCTGTGTATATTACTGAATATTGGCCTCTGGACAGTGAATACTAATGAGGGGAAGCTATATGATTTGGATATTTGACGTGCACACTACAAGATCATGTTCCAAAATGTTGTGGGTCTCTTTTCCTATATGTCTACAGGAGAATATGAAGAAAGCTGAGCAATTTGGGTTTGTGTCTCATAGTCTCAAAAGATAGAGATACGTTAAAGGGAAGTTAATTTCTTTAAATGGCTTTTCATGACTACACCTTTTCTTTTTAATTTTCATTTTGTGCTGCTATGCTTCCTTGAGTTTGTCAGAGTTCTAGCTGAATTTGAATCTGCTTGCTGATACACAATACATACTGCTGATATTTTGGCAAATGCATAAGTAATATGTGTACATTGCAGCTGATTTTTTTCTGTGGTAGAGGACACTTGAGGCTAATGTACTAGAGCACAGGATCAAACTGTCTCCAAAAAGCCTTGACAGAAATATTTCTTTATTTCTTTTTTTTGTGAAATGTGTACAATGCAGGAATAGAACTATAAATAGTAATCACATTGATATGAGATGCAGTGAATGCTCACGGTATGAACTCCAAACCCTGCATTTGTAGTTCTGTGTTATGAAAGCTGCTAGAAACTTAACAAGTGTGTAAACTATACTTTTTTTTTCCTCAGAGCTCAAATGCTTAATATATTATAGGAGTCTGTAGGACTGGGGAGCTGAAGAAAACAAGTAATTTAAAATTGATGAATACTTACTTTTTTTCATCTTAAAAACATCACTTTTCTTTGATGTTGGTTAACTATGAAGTGTTTAGAATTATAAGGGTCATTTTTGCTGTCTACCTGGAACAATTTATCTCATCCAGAAGAGAGTCTCCTTTTGAGAGTTGTGCTGTTCCTGATGCTTTATTCCATGTAATTTTTAATGAAGATTGATACCTCCTGCCATTTCTGTCATCTGAATACTCACCCTGCCTGGATAGATCAGAAGAATCTGAAGAGATCATAGCAGAATTGGAAGCTCCTCAGGCATTAATGCATAATGCATATAGCAATAATACTTATTTATTATTTAGTTAGTATCCAGGCTGAAGTTGGTATTTTTGAAATCAGAGGTGAAATGTGTGATGGCTTCATCAGAAGCAGAATTGGAATTTTTCATACACTTCTTTTGCATAGTTGCTTTTCTGAGCGAAATAGTGAAATAACCATTTTCTGAACTCTGTTGCAACAGCGGTATTGTAGGCAGATGTATTTTTTAAATTGTTTTTCTGAAGATCACTGATCTGTCATATTTCTTACTTTCTGCAAGCAGTGCATGGGCTGCAGTCTGTTAAATGCTGTATTTTAAAGTGCTTTCTAAACAGATAATTGTAAGAATTGAAATACTCTCTTTATATTGCTGGAGAGAGTTAAAGGAATATGATAGGTGAAACTGCTGCCAGATCTAATGCTTAGACTTTCTAGCAGGTTTTCATGAATCTTTGTTTTCTGAAGAGCTTCTGGTCTCTCACCTCTATTTATCATCTTTCTCAGTTTTTTCTTTAATTATTATTTCTTGGCTGTATATCAGGAATCCTGTTTTTGGTTTTGTCAGCATTCTGATTTCTGGAAAGCTAAACTTAACCTGTGACTCATCCATGTGAACGCATCCTTAGATAGCCCTCAGGTAACTTTCTTAGCAATTTCATTTACTGATCTGATGTCTTGTATTCTCTGTAGGCTGCTGCATGAGCTCTCCAAGTTCACGCTTGGCTACGTAAGTGCCACAGGACTGATGGATGAACTCCCCCAGTTCAGAGCTGACTGCAGCCCAGTACTGGTGTATCACAGAGCATCTTCAGACCTGTGCTAACACAGCAGGCAGGGACCAGGGAGAGCTGAAGAATTTGGGCTTGGGCAGTCAGTAGCTGTTGCTGGGTGTTCAGACCTCATGCCATTGCCTCTGCTTCTACTTTAGTGCAGTTTGAGTCTCCTGCAAACGCTTGTGCCTTGTCGTGCTGTGCCTGTGTAAATCCCTGCCCTGAAGTGTTTACAGTTCTCTATTGAGACTGGACCCAGCAGAAGAGCATGGAATGTAAAGAAAGGGAAAAAAAGGGAGATGTTGAAGGGAGGAAGGTATGGGGCTGCACAGAGGGGTCACATTGACATGGTACTTTAGAAAACCACCAACAAAACACAACAAACTAAACAGACAAAAAAACAGAAAAATCAAAATACAGCCCAGCTTACTGACACTGTATTACTACCCCCTGAATAACTGGATAATTTGTGAAACAAACCACATCAGCTGCTTTTGAAGACCTCTAATGCCCATTATGCTCGAATTGGCTTTGCTTACTGTGACTAAAGCACTGCAGGAATTGCTTTCTTTGTGATTCTGCTTTTCTGACTCTTTCCCCAATCTTTACTCCTCCGAAGTGTGACAAGGCAACATGAACCAGAATGCCTGGATGTTGTCCTCCCGTTTCCTTCCTCACTGCAGCTGTCCCGTGGGTACAGGATGTGCTGCTCTGGCTGTAACAGTGGGTGCCACCGGGCTGTTGTGCTTGTCTGTCTGTCCTTCCCTCTTACCATTCCTCTCTCCATCAGGAGTTGGTGCAGCTACTGTGCCTTGGGGCTCCGAGTCACTGCTGGAGACAAAGTGTCCACAAATGGCTCTAAATTAATTAATTACATTCTTTTCAAGAGCCTTGCGTATTTGAAGCAATACTTTTATAGAAACAGTGAGCTCCAGTCACCTCTGGATACTTTTCTAATATGTGTGCTACTAATTGGCTTCCATTGGCAGAGGAGAGATGCGCCTTCTGAGAATGGCAGGCTTTTCTGTTTTGATGAGAAAATGTCACCAAAGGGGAGTTTGTTTAATGCTCTTCTTCCTTTTAGACTTCAGAAAGTTGTGTCATGGTAGTTTCTTATCTTTATAAATTCAGAATTAATTTTTAAAATGTGTCTGAAAGCCATTAGTTATTTTTAGGACTATTAAATTCAGCAGCTATTAATTCTCATGTTCAAAAATTCTCTCTCTGGGCCTGTAATTTGAATAATAAGACTTAAAGACACAATTACTTGGTAGCTAATGAGAGGTTTCCTTTTTTTGTAGTGTGTTGTATTTTGTTTTGTTTTTTTTTAAATTAACTATAGTTGCTTTTCTGACCCCATCTGCTTTCCTATATTCTTTCATTAGGTCTGTGGAGGACATCAGTTACTCAGGCACTCTATCTGCTTATCAGTGTTTGGCATCTGGGATTCTCTCCTTCCAGATCTCTCTGACAGATTTTTAAAACCTCTTTCTCTTCAAGTGAGTGAAAAAGCTTTGCATTTGCTGTTTGAAGTTTCATTTTCTGTGTGTCTACTCACCTTTCCTTCCCCCCACCCTTCTGTGCCACTTGCCTTCTGTACTGTCCTCATCCTGTCTCTGCATGCTTTGTCCAACAAAGGCTTTCATCTTTTTCATCAATAGCCATCAGCTATCTGTACTTCATTAGCTTTCATGTTTCTATGATGCTGCATATGCTCAGAAATTGAGGCAAGATCTTTTAAACATCAAATGCTGTAACAAGCAGAGTGCAGAGCATTTAAAGCAAATTATGAAACGTATCTTGGCTTGAGGAGACACAGAGTGTCAGGCTAGAATTTTTTTCCCTATGTAACGTGAAACATTTAAATCTGGTTGATTGTAAACATTGTTCTTTGGAGGGACTTGAATGAAACCAAATGAAAGCATTTGGTTTATTATATGTACAGGATTCCCATGTTTTACTGACTTAGTATGTTACAACATGGTAGGGGAGCCCTCAGCCTCTCTGTTTTGAGTAAAGGGCTTGAAGCAGGGTTTCTGTTGTGTGTGATGAGCTTGTCTCATTTCTGCTGGCTGCTGTGTAAAGATCATGGACCAGAAGCAGAGCACATCACATGGAAGGGAACTTTCAAGTTTTTACAGACACAACCTTTCTTCAGCTGTCGTTGCCATAAGGTGATGGTGTGGCTGCTATCTTCGAAGATGTGACCTGGGAGAGCTGTGGCTTGTGATTACTTTTATCTCTGCTGTTACCCTTGGTTTGGTGGAACAGTTCATAAACTTCTCTTCCATTGCCTTCTTCACCAGTGTGCTGTCAAGAAAATGAAGAGTGTGAGTTGCAGGTTAAATACACCTGAGATCTTAGGAGCTTCATTATTCACTTGCTGACACACCAGCATCGGGTGGTTATTATCATTGCTTCTCTTGCTTTTTGCATCGTGTGGAATTACTGGGGTACTGTAGTTGTCCTTGAGGGTGAAAAAGAGCTTGGGAATCTTGCTCGAAATGGAATCAGGTTGAGTCTATAATAACTTGCAGCAAGTAGGAAGAAGTGCTGTGGGAAGACTGAGGAAAAGATAATAGGAAATGTTCTGATGGTGTTTCATTTTGGTTTTCATTCTTGGGATCATCGATGAAAAAGAGTGGAAAAGTAACAGAGAGGTGAGTGAGGAATAGCTTTAATCTTCTTTGAGGCATGCTTTAAAAAAACCTGTATTTCTGATAAGGAATAAATTATGTGTTATAAACTGTGTAACACAGTGTGGTAGAGCTGTGAAGTGTTACTTTCCAGGAAGAGAGATGAGAAATTCAGTCGTTCACATCTCAGTAAGAAAGGGTTAGTAGGTGCTGGGGTGGCCATCTATCATTGTATGCTCGAAGAACAGAAAAATAATGACTCAGGAACTTGTTGTTGCAGCAAACAGAGAGAGTTGAAAGTTGTAACTAATAGGAGGTTAGGAGGATGAGGTTACTATTTTTTGGAGAAATTATCTAATGGAACAATTGATTTAAATGTTTAGTTCTTCGTTAGGGAATGCTTGAAAACGATTTTTCTCACAGAAGACAGATGTGCTTCAATTAAATTAGAGCTGCTAAACTTAAAGCAGGAAGTAAAACAGAAAAATAAATATGGTGGCTTGGATTTAGTGGGCTAATAATGAATTAGTGAGTCTGTAAAGGAAAGCCTCCTACCACTGCCTCACAGTCATTAGAGAAATATTATACCATAAAGCTCCCATTCTCTGAATCCTTGTTTTTGTTTAAGTGCATTTACACAACTCTGAAACACTTCTTTTTTTCAAGTTGTCACAAAGAAGCTTGATAATAGGTGGCTGTGTCAGCAAAAGTCCTGGGACTATAAACAAAATGAATTAAGAGAAAACATGCATCTATATCTGCTGTATTGCTTTAGCATCCTGTTACCTTGATCTTGCTATCACCTGCCCTCTGTCCTGGAGCAAGAAGGACTCTCCCCAGGGATCAGTGCCCTGAGGTACTTTACCATGAATATAGGTGAATGTTACCCAAGAGAACTGTGCACCTGCAGCTGCAGTGTCCATCTGTAGACAGGGTAGAGAAGCTGGATGCTTGTGTTGCATTGGGAGTATTATAGCAAATATAAGCTCTTACAGGATCTTCACATTACTGTGAGAAATGTTTCAGGCTCATGGTACTTCAATTGCAGGAATTTATGTTCCTTTATACAAGGAAGAAGATGTAAAATGGAGGAAGTTTAGTAGCTACAACCAACAGCCAGCCCTGCAGCGGATTGCCAAGATGAGGACAGCCATCACCAGTGTGTTTCTGTGGTTTTGGGAAATGCAACAGAAAATCAGTCTGGGCTAGATGATTGCATTTCAAAGCTAGTCTCCCAGACACTTCAAGTATTTGAGTTATTGTAAGAAAACAATTCCATCCCATCAATTTCAAGATGGGCAGAGTACATCTCTTGTGCTATCAGGGAAGCAATGATGATATGTCACTGGTTTACTTTTAATTAAATTTTACTTGCTTACATAAGGAAAGCAAAGTTTGACAAAAAAAGCAAAGTGTTTTTAGATTTGCTATGCCTTCATCTATACGATTCTGAATGTAGTATCATTGCAAGTCTTACCAAGATCTTTGCTAAGGATTTGAAATTTACTCTGAGATTTTTCTATGGAAAGATTAGACCAATAATTGAGCCTAAGCAAAATAATGAATGGGTTTAAGCTCCTAAAAGTATGTTTTGTAGGTCACAAGGAAATTTATGTATATATGGTCCACACATACAATACAGTATTGTGTATTCATGTAATTTGACATGCAGGAGCAAATCCCACTGAATTTTCCAGTGTGGGATTGAGTTCAGGTGTAGAATTTAGAGTAGTTACATTGTATATGAAATTAGAATAATTATAATTCCAATTTAACTCTAAAGATAAATGAGAAGGTATTTATATGCAACATAACATATTGCATTTTCTAAAAGCTCTTGTATTTCCATCTGGTTTTAATCTTTTGTAGAACTCTATTAATGTTCATGAGAGAGAGATGCCAGCTATTTTATTTGTATCAGCACATAATTGAAACTGTCCCCTCTTCCCTGCAGAGAAGGGAGTAACCCAGCCAAGAATATGAAACACTGATGTATCAGTCTAGATGGGTCAGTGAGTTTAGAACTGTTCTACAAAGTCAGTAAAATTTATAGTCTATTCAGGTGCCCATTTGATCTGCTTCCCAACAGAGATAGTGGGGTTTTTTGGGAGGGGGTCAAACATTTCTATTGGCTTTTATCTGAGGCAATGTTTTGAGTATTAGGAAAGAAATGATTTTTCTTCTTCTGTCTGAAATGGAAATGGAAGTATGGACATACTTTATTAAAGTTGCTATATTAGACGTTGACTCACCCTGCTGTTTAATGAATTCTTATTATCATATACTGTGATATTCTGCACATCTCTGACTGCCATTTCATTACCCAGTATTGAGTGAATCTAGATGCAGTCTAGAGATTGAATGCTCTAGATACAAGGATCTTGTTTTCTGATAGAAATTTCCCATAATCTGTGATTTTTAACATCCTGATTACCTTTGTACAGTTTGGAGGTTGCCAGCCTGACACGGGCAGATGCTGATCTGGAGGCCAGTCGAACACAGATCTGTAAAGAGGTGATTGCTTTGATGTTGAAGAACATGGTCTTAAATCACAGCCTCTTTCCTCATGTGGAGAAGAAGATAAGTTCAGTTTTCAAAAAGCAGTTCCTTGCAATAGAGAAAGAGATTCAAGAGGAGTATGAAAGGAAGATGGTGGCTTTAACAGCTGAATGTAATCTGGAAACGAGGAAGACAATGGAGGCTCAATGCCAAAAAGTAAGAGCTGCAAATGAAGAGGCTGAGGAATTAATGAAGAAAACTAATGAAAAGGTAAATCTGGTTTTAAATCAAGATATTCTGCAACATAGGCAGCTTTATGGAGATGTTTTCTCTTTTAGACTAGAACAGCTTAGTTATCCTCCTAGAAGAGTAAAGCTAAAGATCTGCAATTAAGTATGTTCAAAAATTCAGATGTCATAGTTAGGGTATTTGTTACTAAGAAATTGTATTTAACTTCACCAGAAAATTAATTTTTCTCAAGAAAATGTGTGACATCTGAAAACAAAGGGTTGTCGTTACCCTGTTTGTTTTGGGGTTTTTTTATAATCACTTACACTATTGTAAAGTGGTGTATTTTTATTTACTGTATTGTACTGCAGCACTTTCTGAGATTTCAGACAATTTGTGAAGTATTTTTCACATTCAGAGCACAACAAACTCCCTGCATCATAAACCTTACGGTCTAGGTAAAAAGCCTCCACTATTTATGTTCTATTTTTGAAGAAAATTAGAATATAAATACAACCAAAGGCTGATTTCCCTCTGAAATGAGTGAAGGCAAGCAGAAAAATCCGTATTTTAGACAAAGCAAGGAATGGACTTCTATTAGAAATAGCCTCTTTATAATAAATAAATAACTGAAGAGTATGATTTCTTACAATGCTCCAGTCTCCCAGGTCTTTTTTCAAGTATATTGAATGTTTAAAATGAAACTTATTTCCTCCCACCCTTTTTCTTTATTATTATTTTTAAAAACTTATTGTGGCTTGGAGGGATTCTGGTAAGTTTTGAATATTTCATCTCTATCGGTTTAAAATGCCAGAATACCCAAGTTGATATTTCATGTTTGTCTGTTAAGAGGGTGACTTGGTCGGAAAAAATAATGCAGTTTGTTACTTACCAGTAGGGCTTTGTTTCTGGACCACAAGTGGTATTTGCATATCACATATCCATAATTGTTAAGGTATTTTATGACAATTCATGGTTAAAATTTTGACACAAGAAATTTCTTTAACTGAGTGTGACCCATTAAAGGTACTCTAGTATGTTGAGGCTTTCAGGAAGAACTTTGTTTTATCAGGCTGTTGCATAGAGAAAATTCATGGCACAAGGCTAGTGTGCCAGCAGAATTTCTTTGATGTTTCCAGGTGAATTTTAAATTGTGACTCTTTGTAGCTTTCCATACCTGTTGGATATGCCTATCCTGAACTAGAGGTGCTATAAATGTAAGAGGTGAGAAGGAACAGGTGTTTGTGGACAACTTAAGGATGAGGTGAACTCTACTCTGCAGGAGACTTTTTCCTTCTGTTGGATATAGAAAGAGCTTTGACCTCACTGAGATAAGTCCTGCCTTTGCAGAGAGAGGGGCCTGACTGAAACTCAGTGTGTGAACCCACACTAAATATACTCTCAGCAAAGTTGCTTTGCTTTGTAAGAAATGTATTGGTGTTGGTTCAGTCTGATTTGTACTGAAAATCCTAAATAGTAGGAGTCAAGCAAAAACTTAAGGCCTGTCCTGATCCATTTACCATATCCTATCACGTTGCTGTTCACTTTCCTGTTTGTAGAAGGACCTGGTTTTATACTTGCCACAGCACGTGGTCCAGAAGGACATTCTTGAGCGGGAGGGTTGGCTCAGAGCCATGCTCCTGGGCAGCAGGTGTACTGACACCCAAGGGATGGCAGTGGAAAACAACTAGAGCAATAACCTCTTCCCCTTCTCCGCCAAAACACAGAATTTATATTCCTTGCCTTTTTGATTAATTATTTGCTGCCTGCAGTGTGTCCCTTGGGAATGAGGAGTGAAGCGCGGAGGGCAGTTCTCCTCAAGATAATTGGTATGAAATTTAGCGAGACTGACAGTGACTGTTAGGTAGTTCTGCTGGCATAAGAAGCATTCTTTGCTCTGTGGGACATGTATGTTTTGATTCTATAATGACTTTATGCCATCTGAGATTAAAACCATGAATATGTAAGTCTTACTAGACAACTAAGGAGAAGTATTTCTGGCAAAGAAGCTTTTAAAGTAATTGTCATTTAATTCTACTCCATGGTTGGAAATGTAAATCTAAAATGATGCTCTTGAATTAATTTGTAGAAACTGATAGTTAAAGTAGGTCACCAATAATAAAATCTTCTAGAGATTTTTAGTAGAATAGAGGTTTTTTCTAATTTATGTTGTTTTTTTAAATTATGCTTATTATTATTTCATTGGTATGCATTATGTGAGTCTGAGTCTGTTTAATTTTAATAGGATTTCAGGATTGGTGAAACCTAAAAAATTTATTTCATATATAGTCTTCTTGAATTTCATGCCATTTTATATAATTTTGCTTATATAAGACTTGTGAATTCTAAAAGAACTTCATTGTGCCTTGGAAGTGGTATCTGGATTAGAGATTGGCAACTGTACAACCCTGCCATCCAAACGGGTGAAAACTATGGAAAGTGTACGCTGATTCAATATTGGCCTTCACTTAAACCTGAAATGACAGTAACTAAAGTATTTTTAGAATTTATATGAGCTAGTAGCACTGATACTTTCAAATGTGTTGAGTTCTGAAAATGACTTCTGATGCATTCATTTCTTTCTTCTTTGCAGCCTGCTGTAGAATACAGAAGTCTTCTTGACAAACTTCACAGACTGGAGCAGGACTGCCTGAAGAGGTTCCTTTTTGTAAAGCAGGAGGAATATTTTGCAAAGGCTTATAGAGAGCTGGCTATTACCCAAAGAAAGGAGCTCCATACTATCTTTTTTACACAGATAACGAATGCCACTTCAAAGGGAGAACTGAAGTTGGAAGCAGCTAAAACATTAGTGGAAGGTTACTCTAAAATACAGGTAATAGGATGATATCTCCATTCCTAAGCTAAAGGCAGAATACAAACCTGCAGTAACTTTTGAGAAATGTTTCAAGATTAATGTTATCCCTTTCATAACTAGCTTTCGTAGAAAGTATTTTAAAAAATTGTAATGCCTTCATTATGCACATCTAGACACCTACACAACTGTATATTGAACACAACATGTTCAAAACCCCCTCGGCATCAAGTGATCTTATATGCTTCAGAAGATATACTGAGCTCCCCAATCCAAATGTGTAGATTATTGAAATTGTGGTGTATCTGAAGTATTATGATTATGTATTTAGACGGATTGAGCATCTTCAAGTTATATGATTGAGGGGTGCTGATGAAGAGTGTGTTCAGGACTTAAGTTTTGCTTTCAGTTACATTTTAAACCTGTTGCAACAGAGCAGGTTGAGGGGGGAGGTTAAAAAGCAACATCTGGAAAGTAGGTGTCAGAGCACGTAAGGCCCTCTCCTAAAGCCTGATGTACAACCTAATATAGAGAAGCTACAATTGGCCACTGTCAGCGGAGATGCAGCAAGCACTTTGTGCAGAAGATAGTTAAACAGCTGGGTCAAAGAGACAGAAAAAGTGGAAAAGGTTTTGACTGTGTTTTGGCTGCTCAGACATGGGTCATGTAACTAGCAGACCTTGTCTTGGCTATTTATGCTAGCAGAATATCTGCTATAGAGCACTGTGTGCCTAACTGATGTCTGCCCAGACCCATCTGTAGGTATCTAAACCCTTCCTATTCCCCACTGTTGGAAGGTGGAACTTCTAAGTCAGCTTGTGTGCAGTGGGCTTGGCTTTTCCTATGCTGTATTCAACATAAATGGAAGAGGGTGCTTTGCAGCCAACTTATAGACACCTTTGAAAATGTGACCCTTTATGAAATCATACAGGATGTTGTAAAGAGCAGTTTCGCTAACACTGGTAGGGTTGCATGTGTATGTGATTGTGGGTTTCTGATCAAAGGACCTGTTAACTCAGGGCACTCAGGATGTGCACTAACTGTTCAAGTACAAGTAAAGGAAAGTTTCAAGGAAACACAGTACTGAGGTAATCAGGCAAAAAGCTCAGCTCATTATTTATTTTGTTTTGTTGAAATAACCATAATCATTTAATGTGATCATTAGAGTTGATATAAACTTATTGTTTTACACTTGTAGGAATTGTTTAACTTTGCCCTGTTAATGAACAAATCTAGTCTGATACTCACAGGTGTTAGCTGAAATTAGCATTACATCTAATTAAATATTCACATTTGTTCACATTCTTTCCTGTAGGGTGACATTGAAGAGCTAATGGATTTTCTGCAAGCTTGCAAGAAATATCATCTGAATAAAAGATTTTCTTACAGAGAATATCTTATAAGTAAGATACAGTCAAGGGATTCTCATGTCTCTGCTCTTATAAATGCTGCAGCAGCCCAGATATCAAGTCTCATTAATAAGACAGAAAGGTAAATAACTCAACTTATTTCCTTGTCAGCCATTTGACTACATTATCTCAAAGACAACAGACTCTTCAAAAGTCTTTTTTTCTGTGTTACCTAGCAGGAGAGTTGCGTTAAAAATGTTATCTTTTTTTTAATTCCAAGAAAATATTTTGTAACTGATTGACTTCGTTAGCTAAATCCCAGCAGGTGCTAAGGTGAGGTTTGTTATCTGTGTCCTCTTTGTACAGCACAGAGATGAATTGCTGGAAAAATACGTAGTACCTGTTTGTAATTCTGAGTTCAGTGGGAAGCAGACTCATGTAAGATTCTCAATATCTTTGTACATCCATTGTTTCTATAAATACTCATCAGTCATGTGAAAACTCATGCCAGAGTACATTGCAGCATATATCAGTGAAGACCATTTGTCTACATGCTTTATGCACAAATATCCGGATTTAACAGAAAAGAACAATTTTGATTCACTTGTGACTGAATGTGTTTGAGGAGCTAGATGTACAGTTTCTCTTTTTGAGCTGGAAATCATGAATATTTTCTAAAGAAAGTAGATTAAGTTTATAAATAATGTAACTGTAGGATTTTGACTAGCAGAGAATACACCTGTTTCAGGGAATTAAAAGGTAGATGTCAGGGAAGTGAACAGTAAACCTGGAAATGGACTGTAGTAATACACATATTTAATTTATTTGGGATATCATAGCAGATCCAGGCTGGTGGAGTATTTTGTGATAGGATACTCAGAATCATGGTAGAGAGGTAGAAATGACTCAGCAGACACACAGAGACATTATTTAAAATTGTGTGGCTGTGTGGAGCACCGAGAGAGACATCGTGCTGCTACCCAGGGAACTGGTTAGTTTGGCATGTGGAGAGATTACTGAGGAGCCTGCCAGGGCAGCAAAACATGCCAGTGTACAGGAAAACAACTTTGCACTCCTGCTGTTGATCCTGTGCATGCAGCTTTATTTGTATGTTTGAGATGTCTGTATTGATGTAAGTCACTGACAATAGGTGAAATGTACATTAAGAGAACTAGATTAACACTGATCTTTAGGTTTTCTCTTCCATAATGTTAACTTAATTTAAAAGTAACTTAATATTAGGAAGCAGGAAGTCTGTTCAAAGCCACCAAGGATTGCATCTGTTGATATGACAAAATAATTTATCAGGTTTTTTTGGTATCTTTTTCTTGCTTTTCTTTTTGATTGTCCCGTGTTCTTCCTCATTGGAGTCATACCTTAAGTTTAGCTTGAATCACGCTGGGTTTAGCCTTGTGATTCATTGTTGAAGAGAGCTTCATCCAGTAGTCTTGCACTGTTTTGCTAAGGTTTGCAACTGTGTGGCTCAAACACAAAGATGTACTGGAATAGGAAATATAATTCAGATATGTATTTCATGAAGAGTTCCCTTCCATCAGTTCATGCTTCTTTTTGGAATTGTATTATAAGGTCTGAGATGTTTTCAGTGATGATGTGGTTATGTGAAAAGCCTTTGTGAGACCTCACTGTGTGACCATTGTAGTGAACAAGTGGGACTTCTTAGGCTGGAAAAATTGGGTTCACCCATTGTTTAATGCCTGTTATTGCACCTAACAGCCACAAAACAAATCAACTATAAAACAGAAAGGTATAGTGTTAGTTAATCAAAGCCCTCATGGGTCTCATCCCTAAAAATTTTATAGAATGTATTAAAAATCCTTCCAAAACCCCCAAACTTCCAAAAGCAGCAAGCATTATTACGAAATGAAAAAATAATTTTTCTAGCACTCTCCTATTAAACTTTCAGAGTATGCGTTGGTTGGTTGTCTGTTGACAAAGAACACATGTAAATAGTTAGAGATACCATTTGTAGAGAAGCAGTCCTATTTGGCTTTCTGGGCCTAGAACTAGTTATTTTCCTGTAACTTCCCACACCTGCTGCAGCAGTAATTCCTCTCAGGCAAATGTTGGCCAAACTCTTATAATCCATTCTTTAGTTGGTGTGACTATAAAACTCAAGAATGTAGTGTCTCAGTTTATTTGCTAGTGTTCTGTTTTCTATAGGGAAACTTAAATAACCTAGTATAACTCATGAGAAATTCATAACTAAAAAACATAGGTTTGTATTTCAGTTTCTAACTAGAAAGTGATTTTGGGAATGTTTACAAATTGGAGTGTTAAAATTTGAGCACCAAGAGAAGTCTGGTCTGAATGGTACTTTAAATTTCTAACCATAGTATCCTCTTATTTTTCACTGTGTCATAGAATCTGCTTGTCTAAATATAGATGCAGCTCTGTCTTAATCTATTTTGTCCAGCTTTATAATAGAGTGCCTTAAACTTACTGTTATAAATGGAATTCTAAAACACAAAACTTAAATGGAGAAGAGAGAAAAGATATAGATTAGATATACTACAGATAGATGCAGTGATAAACCAGCAGATAAATATTGAAGGGAGAAGTCTTTTAAAAATGAAGTTTTAATAGTATGCTTAGAATTCATCAAATAACAAGGCAATTTCAAATTAACATGAAATAGATTCTGTATGGCTAGAAATGAATGTTATAAAAAGCAAAATAAACCGAAACCTGTTCTAGAGAGGGCTGTGAACATTTCAAGTGAAATAGAGCAGCCAGAATTTTCAAGCTGTATTTAAATAAAATGACCCATTTGTCTGGACTAGTTTTTGAGTACTCAGTGTCTTTTGAAAATCAAGTCTGGACTGCAGTGCCAAAAAGCAGGAAAGAAGAATTTAAAATACAGTCTGTAATCATGGGTTTGAGGGATGGCTACATAGGCTCTTTATATTTTTTCTTAAAGAATAATGGACAAAAGGGCAATACTTGAGGCAGTTTTTATCTTGGGTTGTTCTTGCTATCAACAGAGGTGTATGGCTCTTGATGTTATTCAACTATAACATCTGTAGAACACTGTATTACTCTTTTGCCAGTATCTTCTTTTTCATGAGAAATTTCTTTCTTCTTTAGGCTCTTAAAAATTGCAAATGGTTGCAAGCTCCTTTATAAATTTCTCTCAAAACTTAAATTTTTTAAGACCTCAAGAATTTCCTGTGCATTGTGTTCCTAAAGTAGTCAAAAGATTGAAGGAAGCACCTTATGCTGGTCTCGTTCTTCTTAATAATTACCATTTATACGGACCTTGTCCATAGAAAGTAGTTTTTCAACAGTGTCTTGGTTGGACATTTCTGGAAGTCAGCAATAATTCATCATTATGAAGTTTTCTAATCATCTTGAAACCCTTTCTGCTTGTAGCACTCTGCTATTTAGGGAGGGCATTTATTGCCCTGAATTAGTTACAAGACAACAGCAAGATGTCAGTTCAGCAGGTGAAATCCTGGTGTAGCTGAGTCATGCAAGTTCTCTCTGTGTAGTTTCTGTATAGTGATGTGATTCACCCTCCATGTACATTCAGGCCTGTACAGCTTTTCTGCTTTACATCTATCTCCCTTTGGCTTTAATGATGCTCCTGTTCCTTCTCTAGCTTTCATGAAACAATTTTCCTTTACTGGGGTCCAGCATTGCAGAACATTGGATCTCTGTAACATCAAATACAAGCTCCTACTTTTTCTTTAGTGCTCTCACTCTGTATTTGCTCCCTAATTCGTTAGCTTTTGTTCAATACAGAGAAGTCAAGGTGTCTCTCTGATTGACCTGTCATACAGCTGCTGTTAGCCACACACTTCACCTCTGTACCTTTCTTGGTGCTTACTGCCTTTGGGAGGATCTCCCTTTAAACATCCTTGGCATTACCACTGTATTCTCCTTCATTAAAATTCTGTGTTCAAAGACATGAGCCTGCACATTTCTTCAGTGATTAAATGTCTAGTATGCTGAGACCAGGCAGTTTATCATACAGTCTATATTGTCTCATTACCTTTCTCCTCTCCTTTTGTTTTGCATTTCTGTTTGGAGTCCTTTGAGACTAGGACATCTTTTATTCCTAATACTGTAATTGTTTTCATATTGTATTTATATGAAACCAGGAATGAAGGTTTTTTGCCAGGATTGAGCCTTTTAGGAATTACTGTCACACCGTTTAGTGTAAGTTGACACATAAACTGTCATTGTCTTCTGTGGTGGGATACTGCATCACCGACAGTTTTAGCTGTGGACATACTGGATCTCTAAATAAACCAACTGAAGTACTGTAGACCCTTTTTTTTTATCCTAAAGATAGGTAGCTATATATCATCTTGCTATCATTCTGTGTTGCATTACTTTTCTTAAACTTTCATTTGCTGTGTGGTTCCAGCACATCTATCTTTTTCTATTGCAGACTCTTTTCACTGATCTGGATAGGGATTTTAATTGGATGCAGCAAGCCTCAGTTTATTTCGTACAAAAAAGGATGAAGGTGTTAAAAACAATATCTTGGTTATTATCTTTCCTCATTTCCTCACCATAATTAATTACCCTTATTCACATATCTTTTGCCTTGAGTTCAGTCAAAAAGGAGGGGCAGAACTTAGAATTACCAAATATTTGCTAAAAACTTGATGCTGTTCGGGAGTTTTTTGATATTACACTGAATTTTAACATTGATTAGTTTCAAGGCAGAAATTACCTGGCCAAAAATGATGCTTGGTGGATTACTCTCAAAATACTGAAAGGTATTTTAATCCTCTTTGCAGATTAAAGCAATGCAATAGATAGACTTTGAAAAGGAAGATGTCTTTCATTGTCATAACTGTGATAAAGCACAGTTTCTGTCCAGCACATATATTGTATAGGGGTGATGTTTCATGGCTTGCTCAGATAGTTGTGGGTGCTTGAGCAGAAGATGGAGAGGTGTGAATTATGGGATCTGGCCACCCTGGTTACAGTGCAGTGGATGCAAACAAGCTAATTTGGTAATCTTCTGCTTTATTTTAGCTCTTATTTTGAGGATTTTGGTTGGAATTAAGTTGTCACAGTAGCAATAAATACTAATAAACCAAAATGAGACTCTCCTTTCTGGAGAAGGGCTTGCTTGCCACATTTAGATGCTACTTCAATTTAGGAATTGGGCCACTTATCACACTGGAATGAAACCTTGAAAGCCCTGGATTCACCTTAGTCCTGATTCTGTAATGTTCATGTCTTCGAAAAAATGGGGACTGGAGAGGTAAACTAGAAGGTATCTGTATAACATCCAGGTTCAGGTCAGGAATTGGTGCTTTCAATTCAAAGTTTCATGTTGACATTTTCAACACCACATTTGCTAAGTCCACTATGCTTAACAGAAATTATAACTCACAAATGTCTGACAGCCTGATCTGAATTAAGATGTTCTTTTATTGTTCTGTTGAATAAGAAAGATTTGGAGAACTTGTACTGTAAATGTAATAGAAGGTAAGTTCTGAAATTCACTTTGAGTTTGTGGAAAGGGAGATTTTTTTAACTGTTGCAGGCACTGTTGTGATTTGTTTTTTCTTTGACATTAAATACTGTAGCAACTGGAGGTAGACCATAGTCTTGAACTTCCACAGTTAACTTTTTCAGATAATTGAATTTTGCTATTATTTTGAAATTTTTATAATTCTTCTGATGTAAATTTAATAGGAAGTATGAATATAAATATTTTGTGGATATGATGGCTTTGTCTATTAAAGATAATTTTTATTCTTTTTGCTTGAAAACATACATTTAAGAGAAATTTGTTTTTAATGAGGAGAAGGAGTTGTAAAAGACATAAAATGGCAATCCAGGGACATTACATGAAAAAATGAAATATGCATAATATATAAGGTGTAAAATGTCTCATTTGAGTATCACTTACATTACAAACTGATATAATTGGTAGTGCACTTGCCTGTCCTTCCTCTCCATCCTTCCTGTCCATCCTTGCCATCCATCCATCCGTCCTTCCTGTTTCTTTTCATACACCTCCACAAGGTGCCTCAATTCTGTGCTCATCTCTGAAATTGTCCTTCCATTATCCCCTTCCTTATTTGTTTCTCCCAGGTGTCACTGCTAAAGAAACAAAGATCATTCTTTGTGTCTACTTTGCTGAGCCTTTTTGTGCTGCTATTTGCCTCAGATATCCTTTTGCTCTTAAGAATTTGAGATAACAGCCTTCAAACACTGTTATTACAGAGCAGGTCATCTTCCTGAAAGTCATTTGGGAATCCTGTTGGACCGAGCTGAGACTGAAATTAATTTTGTTAAACAGAAGTTTGGTCATGATTTAAAACAAGAAAAGCAGAAGCTTTGCCAGAAACTCATTACCAAGCGAAGGCGGGAAATGGTGCAAAAGGTAATTATTTTCAGTGTATTTATTTTCATAGGGCTTATCATGAATTAAAAATAGAATTAATTGAAAAATAAAATGTAGTTCTTACAACAGGGGTCAGCACTGCCAGGAGCGTGACTTAAAATAAGTGCCAGTTAGTTTTAGCTGTGTACCACCACGTTCTGTATTAGTCATGCAGTAATTCATAGCTGTTCTTCTAGAAAAACATGCAAGAAAGTAAGTTCAGCTTAGCTGGAGAAACTTCTGAACCTCCTCTGCTTAGTTAGTGTAGTGTGTCCAAGGGAATCATGACAAGCTTCTGTAACAGGCAGACAGGAAAAAGCCAACTCTGGTTCAGGAGCTGGTGAGGGAGATGTCTCAGTTGACAGTCACCATTTTCTGCGGGTTTACTGGCCATTGTGTGACCTGAGTGAATTCAATAGCACAGTTAAAATTCAGCTACAAATCACAACTATTTAAAAGATGCTCTACCTATTGTTGCTTGTGGTAGACATCATGTCATCTCACCCATCTAAAAATCAAAGGTAACTGCAAAAGATACAGGTCATCTCATAATATAGGGTGACTTGTAGGTGATCTAACAGGGACTTGTTGTCCAAAGGTATACTTCAAAGTTACTTTTCTCTGCCTAAAAGATGTAAAAAAAAAAAAAACTATCTTAGATTAAGTGGCAGTTCTTAAGATGACCCAAGTTAGGTGAGGTGGATCTTACCTTTTGCAGGATACGTTTCACTGCTTTGTGCTCTTTAACAGATACCAGTGTGAATATAGACAGCTGACCTAGTGATGGTGACATAATTTGTTATATTTTTTCTCAGTGTAGCTTGCTTTTAGTTTAGATTTCCAATGAAACTGCAAGATGGGGGGGAAAAAAGAAACAACCTAACTTTTTTTTTGTAATTTTAAAAAATTCTTTTCCTTCTTTGCTATTTGATCCAGATTAACTTCTGGCATACTGCCAGATCACTGAAGTTCAACTAGCTGAGATTATGTCAAACCACATGAAGATGCATTTGTTTAGGTGTTAGCTCTTTTATCTAGCAACAAACCATATTATCATGGCCTTTGTATCTAACAATAGTCAGAGTTATCACAGATCTCCTAGGTGCTCCCAAGGCAAATTTGTTGAGGGCTAGGTAAGCCTCTGGACACTGAATAGCAGTTTTGAGAACATGGAAAAGCAAAAGTATGAAATTTTGCATTGCTATGAAATTCATACTTAAGGAGATAAAATTCATGATGTTCTTTTTTCTTAACTTTGTTCCTCCTTTTGGTAAATGAATCAGCAGAAAGAGCATCAGAAGGAGCAGCTGTCACTTGGAGATGCTTTCAAAACTACTAATGAGATCTCTCACTACCTGAGACACTGGAAAAATCTTCTGAGTGATCACACCATTGAATTTGAAGAACTTACTGAAAAGCTTGACAATGAGGCCAGCGAAGAGCTAAAGGAGCTTCTATTGAGCCTAGCACAGAAAGCCTTTGAAGAGCTTAAACGTGTTCAGTGTGGAGTGTTTGTGCAAGAACTGGTCAAGCTCAATGTGCCAAAGTTGTTCCTGCTAGAAGCTGTGGAGGAGCTCAAAAAAGAGATGGTGGTTAAACAGGCACAACTTGAAAGGGAAGAACATGACAAGGGCATGGCTGCTGAAGAGCTGCTTCAGCTCACCAGGCAGAAGCTAAGCCAAGAGCTGGAAACAGACATCTCAGAACAAAAAAAGATAAGGAGCTGGGAACAGTCAATATTCATGCAAGTATCTCACTGCACTCTTTTCTTAGTTACTATGGCAAATAGAAGAGAACTGGGAGTTTTCACACCTGTCTAGTTGTAATTCCTAATGATCAGTTCTCTGTTAGGCACTTATAAATTTATTTTTTTTCCAAGCACTCAGCCCGTGCAGTACCAGTGGGCGAGCACTGCAGTGGAAATCACAGGAAGCAGCAGTCTTGAAGCTAAAAACATGGAGTAAAGGTTTTATACTTCCATTCATTCCATGGGAAGTATCCCTTATACGTCTTTCATTGTTACTCTTAGTCTGTTCTTTGAGGTCCCACACTTTGGAAGTGCCAATTAGTATGTCAGACCTCATTGGCCCCAAGTCCAAGTTCAGTATATTCCTTCTAGGCACAAGTCAAGCCTTACTCATCAGGTTTGTTTTAAGCTTTGGCACAGTATTTCCACCTAGTCCCTAAGTACATAATGCAGTGTCTGTCTGTCCAGCTCATGGCTCCATGTCAGACTGGGCTACTCTGGCCTGCAGACAGTGCCCCTGGCACTAAGTCCTGAGCCAGACAGGCATCATGGCACAGGCAGTGCTGCAGAGAGGAGTTCTGGCCCCTGAAGTGTTATGGCCATTGCTGCCTGCTACAATGTGCCCCTGAGGAGGTGGGAAAGCAAGTGTTGGCCTTGCCACAGTTGGGACACCTTGCACAGGGAGAGCCCATGGCTGTGGACAGGAGTGGTTGTGCCTCTCACAGTGGGTAATAAGGTCCCTGAGAGATCAGGAAATGTTCATGAGCATTTCTTCTTAGTTTCAAGTACATTTATGCCTGGTTGTTAGATTGCCTCAATATTTGCAGTGCTAAATTTCTTATACAATGTCTATTTAATAAGAGACATTGTTAGAGACATGGAAACGCGAAAAAATAAAATTGCAGCTTTAGGGGAAGCAGCTGGAACAGGCAAACCTATAATAAGCTGTGTGGCTCTGAAGAAAATATACCAGGCATAAGAGATTGAGCAGGGAGGGAGGAAAAAAAAGACACTGGAAAAAGTTTCTCCTTCATATCTCTTCTTAAAGCAAAATAAATTTGTATGGGCAGTTTTATCCAGCCAGAATCTCTATAAGTTTTCCGGCCACATGTTGTAAAACCATATAGCAGAAATATAAAAAAAACTTTACCCATTACATTTGCTTTGCTAAAGAAAGAGATTCCATTTTTCCCATTGTTTCGGTTCCAATTTCAAGGGCTTTGTATTTTATTCAACATTTTAAATACTTTTCTGTGAGTCATTTATGTTTTTTCTAGTTTGTCTTAACTATCTCTTGTTTACATTGTTGAGAGCAGACTTGCAGGAATATGAAGGTAGATTGTATGACCCAGCAGGACTTTCCTCTCTCTGACTTAGAATTCCATAATAATTGTTTTCCAACCTGCAGTGTGCTTGCCATATTTGTTAGATGCTATCTTTATCTGAAGTAGCAGTAAGCTGTTTAGGGTTTTTTTTCAGTGAAATGCAGGGAAATATACCAAACAATGCAGCAACAACTGTCCTATCAATAGCCTCTTAAAGTCTGTCGCTGTCTTTTTTCAGTTCATTGTCTGTCAGTTACAGTATTTTGATGACAGATGCCAGCTCTCATGTTTATGTTCTCATCTGCTATCTGGTTTTCACAAGGCATTATTTTGAATGGTAGCTTTTCATTTTTGTTGGTTATCAAAGAGACCATGGGTTAGTCCAAAATATTTATGAAGATCAGTAATGCTTACAGTCCTTTTTAAATATAGACATGGCAAAATTCTATTTGCTGTATTTTATTTCATGTCTCTCCCTTTATATCTATATACATGGATTTATGCCATGGATTTTCTTCCATGAGTCTAAGACAAGATGACAAATGTTTAAGTATACTATAAAATGATAGTTTGGAGTAGTCTTGTCTTAAAGTAAACAACTATTTGAAGGAAAAAACCTCATGCATTAAAAGTGTGTTAACTTTCCTTTGCTGAATCAGTAGGCAAAAAAAAGGATTTCTAAACTCAGCTATTTTAGTGAAATGATGAGGTAGTATAGGCCTGGTATACATTAAACAAAAGTATCAGTACTAATGAAACATGTATAATACATTTTTCAATGAAAAGAACTCTTTAACTTTTAACTCTGTTCATGTTTTAAATACAAACTTTTTTTTTAATAAAGGAGATTTCCAAACAAACAAAAATATGTTATTTTTTGTGAAATATTCTTAAGGAAATAAGATAAACAAGGTAAGTAGATGAATGTAGTCTGTGGTTAACCAGACCTGAGCATACTTTATTTTTAAGTCAATTTCAGCTTGACCTGATGATCAGTTCCTTAGAGATCTGAGAACCTTATTTCTATAAAATGGGAACTTTGAGTAATTCAAATTACTCTTAAATTATATTGCATTTTGCAGACTGCAGAGAGCCTCTTTATAAATAACATCTGGAACCCTTGTGATCTCTTGGTGGAAGGGGTGAACATATACATTTATATTAGAGATTTTATTTTATTTTTTCTTTCTCAGTAGCTGGGAGTGCTAAGTGCTGGGAAACAGCACAGGGAGGCTTTATGGGAAGCTTTTATCTTGATTTCAGCTGAAGTTCAGGGATTGTATTGTCTAAAGAGGTGGAAGGATTCTATGCATAGAAAATGTGCTAAAAATATTAATTTATTTTTAAAATATTCAAAAGCCTTTTTCCTTTGAAAATGAAGTTTTGCAGTCCAGGAAGCTCTGTATGCAGAATTTAAGGTATCCTCAGGGGTATTTTGTACATGCTTAGTGGTTCATTTCTGTGTGTGGAATCACCAGCTGATATATGAAATACACCAAAAAAGGATGATCACTGCTGAGTAAAGTGTTTGTGTGCATCTCTTATATTTTATGCAACATTGCCTAAATCACTGAATAGCAAATGCTCTTGTTTTTTTTTAACAGGCAACTTCTGAGTTTACCCCTCTCACTCTCAGAAGAGGAGTTGCTTAGAATGAGGCAAGAGCTGCACTGCTGCTTCTCTCAGGTGGACAGCAGCTTGGCCTGGCCCAAGATAAGAGCAAGAACCTTGTTTCAGGCTTTTGAAGTGGACCAGAGGGACACCGAGGTGATGAAAGTTGAGCAGAATTTAGCAATGGCCAACAAACAGGTGGGAACAGCGTGGGATGAGTGTGGGGATGTGGAAGGGCTTCCTGGGGGTACCTGTGACTGCTGGCATTGGCTGCAGATCTGGATCTGTAGTTTCTTCATAGGTGTGACAGCAGTGTACACTTTTCTTATCTGCATGGACCAGCAGACTTAAAGATAATTGTTTGGGCAGCAGTTGGATAAATAGTTTTTTTCACATAAACCTTTGTATTTCTGTTGCTTTTGTGAAAGTTTTGGGAGTTTCTGAAAAAGAAACTTCTACATTGTTCTGTCTGTTTAGGAGAGTAAAGTCCCTGAGTTAGATGGCCTGTCTTGGCAAGAAATTGAGCATGATTTCTGTTTCTTGTTTCCAAAAGATTTAAGTGTATGCAGACAGTTTGGGGTTATTTCCCCACATCTAAATATGTAGAAGATGAGGCATGCTCAACGTTCAAGAAGTATTTGAAACAAGGAATCTATCTGCTTATCAAATCTTGCACTTTTTAAAGAACCCTGTGAGAGGTGTTTAATTCCTTCAGTAAAGTGGAAAAGCTGTGGAATCATAAATGGTTTTCAGTTCTTATAAAGTGCATGGGCAGAAAGTGTTTACTGTATTAGTTGTGTCTGGTACCATCTTAAAAAGGAAGAGTTGCCCTTGCTTTGTTTTGGTTCGATTATGTTTTCTAAATGTTTAAACTAAGTTGTGTTAATTGTACTAGGAATTAGCCTGGTTCAAAGCCTTAATAGTTTCTAAAGTACTAAAGGAGGGAAATGACTTTGCAAAACCTTACAGTTGAACAGATGTTATCATTTCCCCAGGAGTACATATACTTAGTTGGTATTCTTGTAAAGAAATAGAAAGGTCAAGAATAATTTGATTACATGGAACGGTGCTTCTTAATATTATCATGGTTCATTTGTGATTCATAGACTGTGTTGAAAACAATGTCAATCTTAAATTAATATTCTTTGTTCATTTTTAACTGTGCTGAGGAGACAACGTATCAGTTAAAATCTCTTATTATCACTGCTAAAGCTTGTTTAAAATCAAATTTATATGCTATGAGTTTTCATGGAAAGGATGAATATATAATTCTAATTAAAAGAATTTTTTTTTAAATTCTAACTTTGTCTGAATGTCCGAAATGAATCTTCTGAATGAATAGGCAGCACCTTCATTTCAGAAGTGCTTTCTTAGTGAAAGTTATATTTGCCAAATGTTTCATTATCTGGTGGATGTGCCAATAATAGCAAGTAATAATCTTAACAGTAGTATCCTCATATACCTCTTAAAATTAAAGCATTTTTGCTCATCTTGTTGCAGCAGCATTCTAAAATGGGAAAAACAGGATCCAGGAATAGAAAAAAGTTAGATATTCTGAAGAAATCTTTACAGGACAAAATTTCAATTTATGAAGACTCAGTGAAAAGTGAAAATTTGAGTAGGGTAAGTACAATTTTTTCTGGACTGAGGTCAAAACCTAGATCTTTAGTAATTAAGGATTGATAGTATTCTATCAATGTGAATAAGAACCAGAGAAAAAAGGTGTAAGGTACAGTGGCATGATGCATCTCCCTGCTGTTGCCTGCATTTATCAAGATGTTGCACTTCATGCTTAATAGCTTTTGCTTTGTTTTACTTTTTGTACCTTAGTTACAGAACTGGTTTCATGTCTCACGCCTTTTTCTTCCAATGGTTCTGGGGCTTGGTGTGTGCAAGATTGCAAGGCTCCCCTAGGTCCTGTGGTTTTCTAGGAAGACTTTCAAAACATGGAAGGTGCTTCAATGCATGCTTCAGCTGAGCAAAATTTAGTTCCTGAACATCTCCTAATGCTGCTGAAATTCCAAAAATGGATTCTTAGATCCGAAAGCATTTTGGGCAGGGTCTGGGTTTATTTGTATAGAGGTAACTGAAAGGAAGTCTTGATTCTGATGGGTACCTTTTAGAGACACACAGCCCCAGTCTAAAGTTAATCCTTGAAAAATGGGTGGGGCCGAGCTTTATATGGAATTTTGAAGGTTTTTTACTTTCCTGCTAATAGATGTTCCGAAGGATCTTTCACATGTGTACCATATGGGTAATATTAGTTTAGCCTGTCAGGAGGACATTGCAATGATAAATTTGTTAAACATGGTGCACAGCTGTAGAAGCTACACACAACAAGCAGGTGTCATTGGTAATTGAAATTGGTAGATAAAAAATAGTTTCAAAAGTGATTACAGTATCAGTTTTAGTACCAATTTGGACAAAAAGCTATTTTTATACTTCTTTCTAATGCTTTTTATACCTGTATCCTGAAGAACGAAAAATACTGGGTCAACATGTTAATTCAGAAGTAATTTCACTTTTATATAAGAGCAACACATTGTGTGATTTGGGTGCAGATGATAAAAACAAATGTTTATCTAGTCCAGCACTCAATCTTTGAAAATTAGAACAGGTGCTTGGGCAAGACTGCAACAAGAAGGCAAGTGTATTCTAGCACTCTTCATTAATTTAATAACTGTGGTCTGAGAATGCTCTAATCCTTTTTTGGGGGCATTTAAATTTTTACTTCAATGTAATGTCCTGATCTTCAAACTTTTGGTGGTTTTGGTACTGTTCCTTGAATGTACATCAGATTATGGGCTAGGCTTTAGAAGCAAAAAAGTACTGAATACTTGTTTGGCAAATGTAAGGCAGTAAATACAGCCTTACATTTTTATTAGAATCTTATTTTAAAATTGGAAAATTAGCTTCTCTAAACCTCATTGTTCCAGTTTTATATGCACCATCTGGCTTGGCTGTTGTCATTCTAATTGTATGGCTGGTTTCAGAGCTGGCAAGAGTAGTCAGAAAGAAATTCATGTGGCTAAGTGTAGATAGTAATACCAGATGTGTGATTTTGTTTGTTTAAGAGGAGCTCATTTACTGTATAATGTTGAAGGTATTTCACCGCTCTTGTTGTAAAATACTGTGACATATTTCTTCCTATTTTAAAATATTTTATATTAATTTAATATTAATTTAAAATATGCATTAACAAATATGTTTAAAAGATTAAATATTTCTAACAGTTCTAAAATATTTCTTCCTTATATTTAGTCTAAATCTACCCTCTTATATTTAAAACAATTGCAGCAGGCCCTGCTAAGTGATGTATTCCAGTCTTTTCCCCTTAAGTATAGAAAGGCTGCAGGAAGGTGTCTGTGGGGGTGTATGCTGGGCTTTGCACCACTTATTAGTGGTTTGTCATCAGTCTCATCTGTTTTCCCTCAGAGCCAAGATGAATAGAAACATGATTGAGGCAATTCTCATGTTCAGACTTGGATGTATTATATCTTATCAAAAAATTACAGAAAGTATGACAGCACCTCTAGCTCCTTGCTAGAAGTAGGAAAAATGGCTACAGCTGAGCCTGCTTCAAGGCCTTTTAAAGCTAAACAAACCAATAAAAGTTTAACAACTACATTATTTATCCTTTTGAGACCCAGTCATTGATTCCCACGACCCTTAGAGTGCCATTTGACCAACCAAAGGCTACTACCTGAGTTTTGTGAAGAAGACAGAAGAAGAAGATGAACAAAGAAAAAGACACCACCAAAAATTCTCCATCTTGTCCCATATCCACCACTATACTATAAAAATCTCAAATTTAAAACCCATTACCCAGTGAAAAGACACACATCTAACCCACTACACATTTGTGATTTCTAACTCATTATTCATATTTACAAGCCTTCTCCAAGGTTTCAGATCCAGAGCAGTATTTTCCAGGGGGTCTGTGCCAGGAAGCACAGAAAGCTCAAAAACTCCAGATCTCTGAGGTCCAAGAGGTGTCCTCCTTCTCTTCTCCAGGAGAAATATGAAGAATGTCACATGAGCAAGAGAATATCAGAAGTATATTTGCCTCCAAATCACATTTTACATTTCCCTCTCTATCCTGGGGTGACTTTGTCATGCTGGTATCCCCACACCAGCACGAGCAACCAGGACACTCACTCTACTGGATAATAGAGTTTGTATGATACACAACCACTCTTAGCAGGTCTCAGAGAAAATTTGTTAGCATCATATTAAATATTTATCATCTTGGTGGAAGTAGCCTTAAATGCTTGTTTAAAAAGAATCATAAATAGAGTCAATGATACATATACATATACATATACATATACATATACATATACATATACATATACATATACATATACATATACAT